ATTAATTTACAATATTATTTTTTATTTTCTGTAAATTTTAGGAACTCATTTTTTGTTAAAAATTAAGCTGGAAGTTAGTTTAAAGCTCTTGGATAAGTTCTATTTCTCTTGACATTAAAAATAAAGATCCTAGGTTTTATCTAGGGCATTATTTTAATTTTATAGCAACATATTGTGGCCTATGTAAGTGGATTTAAGGTACCTACGATTGCATCCATTCTAGACACCTCTCCAAGATATCTGGTCTCATCTTCAAGATCGACTGGGAGAAGGCCTATGATCACGTTGACTGGGAGATTCTAGACGAGACCATGGCCAGAATGGGCTTCGGGGATAGATGGAGAAAGTGGATGAGAGGCTGCTACTCCCATCCACACTACTCTATCCTCATTAATGGCACACCCAAAGGTTTCTTCCCCTCCTTGAGGGGACTTCGTTAAGGGGACCCCCTTTCCCCTTTCCTCTTTGCAATTGCGGCTAAAGTCTTCAGCCAATCCATCTCTAGAATCTATCAGGAGAGTTCGCTCATTGGTTTCAAGAATAGTAGACATGGCCCAACTATTTCTCATCTGCAGTATGCGGATGACACCCTTGTTTTCTTGGATGCCTCTGCTAGAGAGGTTGACACTTTGAAATTGTTCCTCCATAGATTTCAGAAGGCAATGGGGTTCAAAGTTAACATGCACAAATCCAGACTGTTGGGGATTGGTTTGACCTCATGTCAAGTCCGTACCTTAGTGCCTAGCTGGGAATGCTAAGTGGAGGACCTCCCTACCGCCTACCTAGGTCTACCCCTAGGCCTAGGCAAGCCTAAGAAAAGACATTGGTCGACTGTGATAGACAAGGTAGATAGACGTTTGGCAGGGTGGTAGGGACGTTTCCTCTCTTTGGCAGGTCATTCCACTTTGATTAAAGCCACCCTGGCGAACATGCTAATCTATCTCATGTCCATCTTTCACATGCCTGCCTCTGTGGCCAATTGCCTCAACCAACTCATGAGGAATTTCCTTTGGTCAGGTCAAGGGGAAAAGAAGAAATACAACCTAGTATCTTGGGACTTGGTCTGTCGTCACAAATTGCAGGGTAGTCTTGGCATCAAGAACCTCCGTTTGCACAAGGTGGCCCTTCTAGGGAAATGGTGGTGGCGTTTCGCCAACCATCCAAAAGCCCTTTGGGCTCGGGTCCTCAAGCACAAATACCAAGTCGCTGAAGAAGATGGGCTACCCCATAGGACCTATTGACATAATGGCTCAGGTGCTTGGACTTCTTTCTCTAAGGCTTTTACCCTCTTTAACAAGTCAATCAGGTTCATCCCTAGAGATGGATCAAGAATCAAGTTCTGGTCTGATCTGTGGTTGGGGTCCACCCCTCTGAATCAGTCTTTCGCTTCTTTGTCCTCTCTTACTCGCAGTACAAACTCTACTATAGAGGAAGAGGTTGTCCTGTTCGGAGACCGAAGAATATGGAGCCCCTCTTTAGAAGAAGTTTAAGTTCCAGGTCCTAGCTTCTACTCTTTACTCTCGGTTCTTCCTGCATCAAGGTAGGGATGTTATTGCTTGGACACTCCTACCTTCGGGTATTTTTTTGGTTGCCTCCTTCTATAAGAGTTTAGCAGCCCAACCAATGACCTCGGATCATCACTCCGCGACACTTTTTAAAGTATGGAATTCCATTGCTCCACCTAAGGTTCAAACAATTAATTGGTTAGCCTTCTCTCACAAAGCTCTCACAGTAGACAAACTCCAGCATAGAGGAGTCCAACTCCCCAATAGATGCGCTCTTTGCGAAAACGTGGAGGAAACCAACCTTCATCTCTTCATCCTCTGTGATTTCTCCTTGGCGCTTTGGGGAAAAGTTTTGATTTTATTTGGGATTAGCTGGGTTATCCCATCCTCGGTCAAGGACCTTTTTTCATTTGACCTGGATTCAGGATGGCCAAAAGCTGGGAGAATCCTGGGGAGGGCAGAGGTTGCAGCAATCATTTGGTCCATTTGGCTCGAAAGAAACTCTATAATCTTTCGTGGAAGCAAACTCCAACCTCTGGCTATCTTTCATCGAGCCTTATCCTCGGTCATTTTTTGGGCTTCCAACCACAAGACTTTCGCAGGCATTCCAGGGAGTTTCTTCCTCCCCCAATGGCTCAACCTCGTCCACCTTAACCTCGTCCACCTTCGATCGCAATAACTGGCAGCCTCCTCCTTATGGAACTATCAAGTGGAATTTCAATGGGTGTTCCTTAGGCAATCCGGGCCCAGCGGGGGCAGGAGGTATCTATCGAGACCATGCAAGTTCTGCCCTACTTGTATGTTAAGAATACATGGGTACCAAGGATTCCACTCAAAGTCTGGCCTTGTTAATGGCGCTGGAATTTTTTAATCCATCATGGGGTTCTCACCTCATTGTTGAAGGGGATTCCTTGAACGTGATCTCTTGGGCTAGTGGTTCAACCCCCCCACCTTGGCACCTTATTCATATATTTGACAAGATACAGTTCATTTGCAGGGGTATGGATGTCTTTTGGACGCATACTTGTAGGACGTCCAATGCGTATGTAGATCGACTAGCGAAAGAAGGAGCTAGAAGACAGGGGCCCCCTTTTGATGTAGGACTGGGGGCAGTCTGACAGTTAGCCTTGCCAGTTGTCATTTCTTTGCGTAGGAGCGTATTTTTTGAAAGCTTATTGTCTGTTATTGTAAAAGGGCGGCTCTATAAGCCCTTGTTTTTGGCTATACTTGAATTCACAGCTTTGATAAGCTATAGTATATTGTTGTATTATCTTTGTTCATATCTGACCTCTCATTTTTTATCAAGTCCCCGCCTGTGGGTGACTGCGGAACTGTACTTTTGTAATTTCCTTCTCTTTTAATACAAGTGAACCTTATCTCAAAAAAAAACTAGTCTCCATGGCAATCCAAGTTGCAAAAGTGTGTGTCCTATCAATTACTGATGCCAAATATATTGCTATCACCAAAGCCTACAAGGATGTTGCGGATTAAAAGATTAATTCAAGAGAGGAAGCATGACAAATATGTTATCCACTATGATAGTCAAAGTGCCATCCACTTAAACAATAATACAAGCTTCCACCTAAGGACAAAGCACATTTATGTGCAGTAGCATTGTGTTCAGGGATGACTCAAGAGAACAAGCTGATTCAACTTGAGAAGATATATAACAACAATTATGCATTGGATATGAATATGATGATAAAGGGCTATTTAAAGACAAGCAAGAGTTATGCAGAAGCATGACTAGATTAGGTTCCATATGCGCACCGACCCATTTTGGGCAAGGTAGAGCCCTCCTCATGAGACTAAAGGGGCTTTGTTGGAGTTCCCATATTTTTGAGAGAGGGGGACCATTACTTAAAAGGGAAGACTGTAAAAGGATGTTAGAAGCATTAGGGTTTAAAACCCTTGTTTAAAATGACTTGATACCCAAGTCATTCAGCGTTCAAGAGAGAAAGAGAGCCTCTTGACGAGGAAGAGAGAGACACCCCACTGTGAGACCCAAAATTATAGAGAGAAAAACCCGATCCCAGGAGAGGGAAATAGTCTCTTGGAGATTAAGTAGAACAATGTCTATGAGAGAGCCTCAAATCAACTAGATCCCTTCTCGGTTTTAGATCCTCGATTTAGAGAGAGAGAGAGAGAGAGAGAGAGAGAGAGAGAGAGAGAGAGAGAGTGTGTGTGTGTGTGTGTGTGTGTGTGTGTAGTAGTAGTAGTGTCTCTACTACTACTACTTACTTACTTACTTACTTAACTTACTAGTAGTAGTAGTTAGTGTTCGTCTCTCTCGTCGACGTACGTACGTACC